TGGTGCTGATAAAATTAAAGATAAAGTGTGTGTTTAAAATATAAAGACTTACTATGCATATAAATAAAATAAACATGCTATATAGAAAATATGTGCACTTTACACAGCGTAATAGGCGCGTTCACACCAAGTACTTTTCCCACAAAGGTTCCTGAGAACGACGATTTAGTTGCGTTCACACCAAAAAGTCCCAGGAACTAAATTAGTTCTAGAGAACCTTTTTTTTACCCCCTTTTCAGTTCCTGCTAGAGAGCAGGGACTTTCGTGGGAGAAAAAGGTTCCTGTGTCTGATTGGCTGGGCGGAATGCAAACCACGCCCCGTCAAACTCCCAAAAACTTTTGTGAAGCCACCATTTTATTATCCTCGCATTGCATTATTAGCATTAGCATTAGCCCAGCGCAGAAACGCAGAGAGACTAACTTATGACAACACAAAATAAAACATGGGAGCGGTGGAGATGAGGACTAAAGAGTTCTCAGGAACCTTTGTGGGAAAAGTACTTGGTGTGAACACGCCTAATGTAATCTTTATGTTACTGGTCTACTTAATATTCAGCAGTCTGATGGCATGGGGGAAAAAGCTATTACAGAATCTGATAGAGTTTGTGCTAGCAGATGCTCCATAACAGTTCACAGGATGTTGTTATTAATTGCGCTGAAATGTACCAACTTAATAACGTTTTTATAGATCCATTTTTATGTGGCTCTGCCTCACCCGGGTTGGAGCTGGGAGATAAAAGGGGGAGGAGTTAGTTGGTAAGAGAAGATCTTCCTCACTTTTAGATTGTTGTGCGCATAAGTTACAGGACACACAAAAATGAGCTAATCTGTTCCATTAAAAACTCATCCGCCCTTTACAGACTTCTTTATGATATGAAAGTCGAGTGAGCAATGCTGTCATGGAGATCTAATGCACTATTGCACACAAGCTACTAGAACAATTTAGGACTGGAGAATAAACTGCAGCTATCAGCACCGTTTATTTAGGACTATATTTTTGTGAATCAGTGGTGCAGGCAAGTGTGTGCAAGGTGTTGGGAATTATTCTATTGTTACTTTAAGGTCAGAGGAATGTAGCTCTGCTGCAGCACAGTAATAAATGTGCTGGTAAATAAGCACTGAGTCGCAGCCAATCAAATCTCTTCTTTTCACTTCAGAGACCCGGAGCAATGACAGTTTGATTATAGGAGAGAACCATTTGGTGTTAGTCTGCCACAAACGTGTTTCCCATGGAAAAACGATGTCCTTGTGTGGGAAGAACACAATTATCATCAGCAGATAGACTACTTCAAACAAAGATAGTGTTTGAGAGAGTGATTAACTTGCAGGTAAATTATAACGGACAGAATGTGTTTCCATTCCAATTGCCGACAAACCTGCGTTAATTAAAACCATTGGAGTTATCGTGGTAAAACAAACAAATGTCTAAAAAAAGCAGTGGTTGTTTTTGGCAGAAAATGCAATCCCCACAACACGGTGCACTATGGTGCATCTTTCCCTCCACATATGTATAAACAATTTCACAGAAGCACTCTGACTGTCAGACTGCAGGAAAGGAGACAATCACACACCGTTCTTACCCAGACAGCTTCTTTACTGCTCCTACCGTCCTCTGTGTGCCATCACTCAAATTAGAGCCTTTAATCACTTACGCCACAGCTATACACTTCCTAATTAGAGTTGGGGGAATAACTTTTCAAATAGGATTACACTATTTCTTTGGCGTTGACTGATCTGCCTTCATGTTCCACTTTCTTGTCCCCAACTGTTTTGAATGAAATGTTTTTTTTATTGTATCACATTCTCAGACTGGAATTGCCGGCAACTGTGTCAGAGCACTTTTCTTTGATGAGTGAAGTCAGATAGTTTAAAATGTATCTTCAGGTGTTGTTGTTTTTCTTCTTCTGCTTGCATTACGTTTTTAATGATGTAGTGGAAACGGTGCCTTTGACTATTAAAATTGCTCCAAATCCACTGCAGTAAATGCAAACACTGTTTATATTAATTCAAACAACTGATCCAGGATTCACATTTGACACACCAACCTTAGTAGCACAAACCAACGGTGTGTATACAACAATCTTAAAGACATCATTTCTCTTTTGCAGCCTGTCTGGAACCACGACTCCAGACCTTGTGGTTAGCACCAGTCACCAGATGTGGCTCAACTTCAAAACGGACGACACCAGTGGCTCCCTGGGATTCAAGGTGTCTTTTGAAGGTAAGAGTGATTCAAACGTTCTTGTTGCCGAAGTGCCAGCTTCGTTGCCGCATTTTATAAACTGTTTTTTTCTTTCACAAATAGAGGGAAGTGTCTTTTTTTGGATCATTTCCCCTTGTGTATTGTGACTCATTGCTCAAATCTGCCAACATAGCCACTGACAGAACACATTTTGCCTCGGTTAACCGTCACATTGCTGTCCTTTCCTGTCTTCTCGAGTTTAGTTTCAAGAACAGAGGGGTCAGAGATGCTCCATCTGTCCATCTAAGACTTTTTTTAAGAAGCTTAATAGCACCGTAACAAAAGAGGCGTGGCGCGGCCCTCCTTGGGATCTCCTTCTGCCGCATCGGATGCTGCAACAATACAGCTGGACTACAAAGCCCTTGAGAGAAACATAAACAGCAACAAGGAATCAATGTAGTCAAGGACTTTCAGTTAATCAATCCCCAAATTGCTGGTTCTCTTGCAAGTATGCACAAATTATGTTCAAAAATAATGATTTGTGTCATAATTGGTGCCTTGAAAGCTAATGAGGAAGGACAAAAGGGGCACTTATTTTGGTAACACAAGCAATTAGCCATCGATGCAGCCTTCCACAGATATCTGATGTATTCTCAAAACCAAGTGTGCACATGATCTGTATACTCATGTGTGTGTGACTTGGAAAATGGTAATGAATACGTCTTTGTGAAAGCATTCATGTGTGGAGACAAGAGAGACAAAACAGAGTGACAGTGTGAGTTTGTGTATTGGTGTGTGTGTGTGTGTGTGTTTGTGTGTGTGTGCCTGTGTGTGAGTATGGGGAGTTTGCCAGAGTTCTTCTATTAGATAGGTCCGCCGCTTGCCTCTCTGAACACAGCGAGGCTCCTCCCTTGCCCACAGATGCTTATTTTTCATCAGTAAAAACAACAGAGAAAGTGGAGCAACATGCCGAACCGAAGTGTAATTAAAACAATGAGTTGTACCTAATGAAGGGGAAGAAACACTTTGAACCACTTCACCTCCCAGACTGGAGCGCCCAAAATCTAATTTGCATTCTTAATTACTTGTATTTTAAACCTGATCATCAAGTGTAATTGCAAACACAGTCAAACCAGTACACATACATTTGAGTGTGGTTTGCATACTGCTGTGGCCTCAAATATTCAATTGAAAATGTTTAAATGTATAACTGTTGTTTTCAGAGCCTTTTCAGGCAGTTTTATACTTAAAGTTATGGCATGTTTTGTAATTTGAAGATGTGCTGGTACTCTAGCCTAAATGGGCCCTATTAGGCTTTTTGGGTTTTTCCTTTCTTGTACTGTGTTATGTAGGTTTGTGTGCATGTAAATGGTCTGCAAAGCATACAATCCCAGAGTTTCTCTCACACACTCTCCCCCCCTGCCTTAAGCGCTCCAACACATTGTTGAGACTGGGCTCTGGTTTCAGACAGAGGGTGGAAGTAGGTGCTGCAGCACAGGCAGTATGAGAAAAATAAAGATATTTTTGAAAATTAAAGCATGTAGACATGTTACAAAAAAGAAGCAACAAATACAAATATGAACCTGGAAATTAGCATAACAGGGCCCCTTAACCTGTATAGTTAAAATATTGTCATTTACTCCTAGATCTAAAATCTTATAGGTACTTTACATGAAGGGCTTTAGTGGAAACGTGGGCCTCTGAATTTCTATCAGACATTGTATGCAAAATTGGGTTATTCCAATAGACTCGAGTATTAGAGTTTTTGTCGTTCAAGGAGACTGCGGGATAGTTGTTGGCAGTAAAGTGACTCAGAGTTACATTACGGTGTTTACATTTTTCCAGCGTGACAAACAGACGGCAGCAACGAAAATGACATCCATTACATCTCTTCACTTATTCATGAGAATCAAATGGCTGCAGCCTGCTCTCTTATACACAACATACACATTCACAAACATATGTATAACAACAGGCAATCCATGAAACATGTGTTCACACCAATGTACACTCACACACTTCAAAGGGCTCTCATTTACTGCCTCTATTTCCCTAACATTTTGATTGTAGGGACCCATGAGGCAGAGGGGCCTTATTTTAAGACAAACCCTGCTGGGAGTTGAGTGAGCATATCATAGAGACAAACACGCTGTTGTATAATTCTGTGTGTGCGTGTATGCATTTGCTCATTGAAGTGCGTATTTTGAGGTCCATCTTATAGCTATCGGTGGTGTTTGTTGGATCTTATACATTCCTGTCGTATTATTTCCAATACATTTTCTCTCAGGCCCATCTGAAAACTGTCTTTCAGTGTCTCCCCTTTTAAAGGTGACTCCCACGTAAGATCAATGAGTTGACTTGTGAACGAGGCGGCCTCAGGACAGCCATACATCCAAACAGCAGTGAGCTCTAAATATGTGTTCTAAATGATGATCATCATTAAGGCTGAGGGTATGGATTTATACCCAGCATCGCCCCTGGTGCGATTTAAAATCGTATTAGACCCTGCCATCATTTCCTGGATGAATGAGCTTATTCGCTCTCTGTGTTTCCCCGACCGGATGCCTCAACATTCCCATCTGCAACCTCAGAAAATTAGAAGGGACTTGCATACGTCTTGTGATAATGAAATTGGCTTTGAGTGGTTTTAAGGAAGAAGCGTTTTGATGCTGGTGTGTTTGTGTGTGCACCTGAAAGCACTCACATCAGCTTCCAACAAAAGTGAGAACGTTTTTCACACAGTGAAAGGAGAGATACATTTGCAGCGGGAAAAAGAGACACAGTTGAGAGAGAAGTTTGCAAAATGAGTTGGTAACATGTTGAGAGGATAAGGAGACAGTCAAGACTACTTAGTGGAAATTAAATTGACCAGAAATTAAATGCATTATCTGACAAAAGGAATATCACATCGATTATAATGTAATGAAGTGTAAAAGCTACTCTGCCTCGTCGGACCAAAATTAACTCTGTACTGAGTCATCTCTAATACAATTATCTTTTAATAAAAAAACATTTTTATTTGTCTGAGCACATCATATTATTTCCAACATGTCTTATCTTTTTTCCAACATGTCTTATGTTAAGATAATAGTTCCTTCTATTTTCATATTACTTTAGGCTTTTTTGATATCCATTTAATTTGTTAATTGTAATTTGCTTTTTTTCTAAAAGGTTATTGTTCTTTTCAATCATCCAAAGCACTGTGTAGCTTTGTTTTGAAAGTTGCTTGATATATAATTGTTTTGTATTATTATTTATTGACATTATAATATCCATTAATTCTTAGCAAAGGCGCCAGACAGGAATGGCTTTTGTCTCATTTCCACTGCATGGTTTGGCTCAACTCTACTCTCTTTGGTACTTTGCTGAATCAGCACATATACTATTTTAACGTTGCTTTAAAGGGGCCCTATTGTGCTAATTTCCAGGTATCAGAATTGTATTTTGTGGCAAAAAGTGCCTTTATTTTTCTCATACTGCCTGTGCTGCAGCACCTCTTTTCACCCTCTGTCTGAAACCAGAGCCCAGTCTGCACTGATTGGTTAGCTGGCCAGCTCTGTTTTGATTGGTCAAACGCTTAGATATGTCCCACACCTATGCCCATCACATACAATGTGTTGGAGCGCTAGCCAATAGAAGCGTGAGTGTTACATAGTTACATAATTGGAGTGTGCGTGAGAGAAACTCCCTCTGTAGGGAACTTTGGAATTTCAACCGTTGCAGATCATTTACATGCACACAAATCTATATAACACACCCTTAAAAAAAGGGAAAACTCCAAAAAGCCTAAAAAATGTAGTGTCTAACACTTCATTTTAATGTCTAATGTTCCTGTAGTAAGTAGTGGTAATGTAGACTGCATCCTATACGTAAATAGGATGCAGGGGCTGGGACAGTGCTCCCACATCCAGCAGTTAAAAGTTGGCTGCAAATCAGCGTTGTATAAAATGATAAGCAAAGTCATTTTTTCCAGACTGCAGACTCCATGACTGCACATGAATGCACTGCTCTTGCAGGCTTCCACAGTCAGCAAAAGAAAGAAAAAAATATAAATTGGAACTAATGAATAAATTGGGTTTGGGGAAATGCATTTCGATTGGCCTACCTGGGACATTTGCTCTGTCGCAATAAAGGGTCACACAAAAACCAGCAGTATTCAATAATTCCCACTCAGTAAGCTGAACACACATTTTCCTAAAACAGGAATTAATGAGATACAGCAGTGTTGGTTTTGATTTAGTGTGAGGTCCTGCATCTTCATATCACTTATTTTTTTAATCAATATCAGTTTTGCATGTTAAATGTTCTTGCCTTTGTGTTTCTTTTACGCAGAAATTGACCAGGGAAGTTGTGGAGATCCTGGATTCCCAGCGTACGGGAAGCGAGAAGGGACAGGTTTCCGCCACGGGGACAAACTGTACTTTGAGTGTCTGCCTGCGTTTGAGCTGGTGGGGAAGAAGAACATCACCTGTCAGAAGAACAACCAGTGGTCGGCGAAGAAACCCAGCTGCGTCTGTAAGTTCTTGGGAGCCTCGTGCGTTCAGATTGTACATTCACCACGTGCCGACATGTGCCATACATCAGGGTTTCCGCTAGGATTTTTTCTTGCCGGTCAAAGGTCCGGAAATAATTTATTTTACCGGACAAATTCGAAACTTACCGGTCATGTTTCAATAATAAGAATAAGAATTGTGTAGGCGTGTGGTGCAGTGGGTTGTGCGTTGGTGTTCGGATCAGGGGGTCACAGGTTCAAACCCCACTGCAGTCAGCATGTCGTTGTGTCCCTGGG